TATTAATGTTACTAGATTCATTCATTGATTGGTTGTAGCTGTTGATTCATATAAAAGTTTTCATAAAATTAATGTGTGTGTTTAAACAGGCTTTCTATAAGCACCTTTCTATAATTGGGTAAATATTTTGATTTCCTGTTTAGGCAATAGGTTAAGGTACCTTATTAAATTTTAGAAATGTGGGATCCATACTATGATATATATAAATAATTAAAAGGTTAACGTTATCTTTCTAAGTAATGGTTTATTGCGGTATATCTAAATTCCAGTTCTTATATTAAAACTCGTTCTGTCACATACTTGCATCTTTCTGTACGCACCTGCCACTTAATTTAGAAGTTTATAGGCGCAGTTTAACCGTTATCTAATAATACAAAAATGTTTTATAAATAATACTCTTGCCGTTGTAAAAGACGTGTGAAAATATAATGATATCTTTACGAGCATTGTTGTTACGATGTGAATTTTTCTAAAGAAAAACTTGACGCGACCAACTATTTCAGCGAAACAACGTTATCGAATCACGGCACAAGGTACCAATAAACGTTTATAGAAACTGTCAAGACATTGTAAAAAAAGGACACGCCGGCAATATTAATATACGCTGGTAAAAACAAAGTGAAGTCAACATGGTCGACGCAAGATGGCGCCTTTCCCACGCTGACTGGGAACGTACCATGTCGCCCGCACATGTTCGCCAGCGATGTGCATGAAAACTAATCATATTTTGTATATTATTTCATAATCAAATTAAATTTCAAAACATGTTTTAGAATATAAATAAGCTAAATATTTTAAATACAAATGATTTCACAAAATATGTAAAGAAAAGATTGCTAAACGTTCTACAACTTTGAACTAAATGTTAGAACGACGACGGAATACATTTTATATCTATAAAAGTGTTTGAGACGAATGATACAAATCTATTTTATACACAATGATACAAAGTTACTTTACAGGAAAGAGCAAGAACACCCCTAGAACTCGTGTAAGCTAGAATCAGTTTATCTTTGACAAAGACTATCTTAAATCTGTTTTGCTAAACTTGATGCCATATTTGAATACATCAGCGTTATATTCAATACTTCAAGCACAAACTAGCTGTTGCACGTGTCTTGAATAAGTCAGTATAGGGTTTAAAAATGTTTTGTTTTATATTAGACTATAACATTCTAAGAAATATGTTTTTATCACTTGTTGCCAAAATTATAGAGTTGTAAAGATAATATCTGAAACCCGTGAAAATGTCACCGTAACCTGTTCGCTTGCTTAATTCCTCTTAAACGCACATAACTTTTTAAGACACGGCCTTTTCGGGACTCTTTTTAATGTGGCCGGTTCAGCAAAGATTTTTTTTATTATTTACTTCTTCCCATTTTTTAAAAGTTAAAGTTTTATTCTATCACTAAATGTCGATTGTCTCCAGATGGTATTTCATAAAGAATACAAAAACTAAGATTTTTCAAAATAATTTGTTAACGGAAACTAAAAAAAAAAATAATCTCAGGGTGGAGTATAGTCGAAGAAGAAGTAACAAACACGTGGCCACCCGCATATGTTGTGCGATCTCTGTTTTAATAACATCTGTGTTGGGCGGACCCTAACTATATATCGGTGAAACAATAATGTCTCAACAATGTTCATTAGGTCGAACATTTTGATAACTCTTGAATTCAGTCGGTTATGCCACGCCTAGAAATGCCAACGAAACGGAGACGAGGCTCGGATGTTGTGACCGGTTTCGAGAGGCTGGCTTTCTTAAGAGGATACGGTGACGTTAGCGACTTCTACATCGGCCGGGTTGTAATGTTAGGGTCACCACCAATTGACCCAATGCAGCTGCCAGAACGAACGCTATCAATGCTCCTCTTATTAATATAAAATTTTGTCATAACAAAAAACACGATATATTATATGCGGTTGCCATATAGATATATTAAAAGTGCAAACATTATTTATGATTTAAAACTTTTTCTGATTTATTGTTTTAAAGAATAAGAAAAAGACATATACTTAAAACCTTTTAAATTTTTTCCTAGCAGCAATTTAGAAAAAGGCTTATATTATACAATACAAAGTATAATAACAAGCACGAACAGTGAAGGTCTGTGTACAGTTTGATCGCAAGTAATTTATTTTTTACTATACATTTAATTTATTTTCGTGGAGATAATAATGGCAACGCAATCAAAGTATCTTCACCTTCATGCGGCCGCTTTTTTACTATCCACAGACATGTTTTTGGTTTATAAAGTTATTAAGCTTTTTTACTTCGTCAAAAATTTCAAATGTGTAACCGATACTCGATAGCTGCCACAATTTGGGTGTTAAAATTCTCATTCACAAATAAAAAATAACTTGTATTGGAGTTTATATTGGATTACATTTTGTAGTTGAAATAATTCTTGTGGAACCATTTTAATGTGTACCAGATTTATTTGGTTTCTATTACTTTGTTTATCACAATAATCAATGTATGCCATCATGTCCTCGATGTTCGTGTGTCATCACAATGATTAAGTGTATTGGTGTACAGAATAATATCATCTAATTTTTCTGGAACATTCAGATGATTCAAAACTAGGATTGCAAATGCAAAATCCATTATAAGTCGATAAATATGCAGCTTAGTTATGCTATAACATAAACTGCCTTTTCCGGCATTCGCTCTGATACTAGTCATCTTAAGAAAATTACGTATTATTTCTAGATATTGCAATGAAAATCTTATAACAAATTGTTTAAACATATTATATAAGTCAGATATTAAATTAAAAGTAGGTACATAACATGACGTGACAAAATCAATGCTTATTGAGATTCCGTAGACATCATTCAATTAATTATCTTAATCAATTACTGATTCACAACTGAATTGATTTATCGTTAAAGAGAATGGCGTCTTATGTAGAAAATAATTCTTAGTTTATTTTGAAAGGGTCAAACACGAAAATTTTTCTATTATTAAAGTACCGTTGTGCAAAATTGTATTGTTGATACAATTTCAACGGTTTTCCCTAAAACCGCTTATATTGACTGTCAGCCATTTTGTCTTTTTAATGTCTGTCAAAAAGTTTAAATATTCTGATTTTATATCAAACAAGATAAACGGACTTAGAAAAGTTCTAAAGAAGAACATTGGGTACTTTATATTAAAAAGTTGTAGTTTCTTAGAATATTAAAAAACAAAAAGTCTTTCTTCATATAGTAACGGCTTTGATATATATAATGTTATTATATGTATGCTGTTTCTATTATTATAAATTCATATTTGACAAAAAAAAATACATATATAGCTATAGGTATTATAAAGCATATAATGGGGAGCCATCTTGATAATTAATTCGACGTCTTATCCCGAGGTCCTTGACCCAAATAAAAAACTTTGTTAAAAACTAAAACGTATAGAGCTCCAAGCAGTCGGGCGTGACGAGAGACGCGGTGATAACGGCCATTTGGAAATACACTAAAATTGTTATAAAGATAGGGTCCAATTTCGCATCAGCCTTATAATTGTATAACAATTCTTATAGTTAATACAGATATACTGCTGTTGAATTTACACACATACCAAATATCAATTCGGAAATGGAGAGAGATTTGATTAAAAACAGAAAACCGATAAATATTTAACTAAAGTAGAAACGTTAATCAAGAAAGAAATAAAACAACCGGGTGGTGTCTAAAAAAAAAAATCGCTAGCGCTGTAACATACACATGGGTCCGCAATCCGCATGTGTATATTTTTTTCATATATACATATGCTGAATATGCGCAGATGTGCAAATAGTACATAAGAATATTTACATAATTGTGTCTCAGAAATATCGCCCCGTGTTAAGACACAACAATATAGCATGGAAATTATCATCTTCATGGAAATAATACTCTTTTAAGATTTATACCATACGAAGAAGCTATTTAACATAATAAATATTTTTCCTTGACTGGTATATTTCTAGGTCTGCATTTTGCTTTTAAAAAATACACTATTTTATTAAAATTATTACAAAACATTCATCGAACGTTACGTTTATGATACAATTATAAATTATGACTTAATTATACATATTTAGCTAAACCGCAAACTAGTCACATCTTTATTTGTTCCTCAACTTACAATTTAAGCGTTAAGGATTTATTTTAAATCTTACATATTATATTAATTGGGTGGTTTGAAGTAATCAATTAAGTATGTTTTCAATCAAAGCCAATACAAAGGAATAAATTGATACAAATTTCTTCTTAAAGCCCCCAAATATATACTTTCCTATTCTTTTAAAGTATTCAGAAACATTAAGAAAATTACACAATCAGTATATGCATATATATATGACAAGTTTACTTAATCAATTGCAATATATTGCAATAAATGTCAATGTCTCAGTACGATACAACATGCTGACGTCACTGCCTCAGAATATATTTTAATTACCAGAGCCACAAGGCGTGTCTGTGTTAACAATTACTCTATAAATGTTAAATTTTGGTACAGTTACAAGCTTTAAAATGTTATTGTACTTGATTCGAATACTCCGTAGTGAGTTTGTAAAATCTCACACTAGAATCTATCAAAATTGCCTGTGTATAAAATGAGCCTGTCTATAAATCGATTAACAATGAGTGAGGAAAATAATATTTTTTTTATATATTTAATGTATATTTCAAGCTGATGTGACCATAAAACCTTGGTAGTGTCTCGTGTTTTTTAATTTAACAATGCAGAATTGTCAAAGAAATTGAATCTCCAGATCTTACGAGGGCAATTAAAATATGCCTTGGCTTATTATAATCATTGTTTTCTTTATAATCAGTTAGACGCGGCTCTGTGTGAATGTTGGTCACGGATCGCAGACTAACATTATTATCATTAACCCCGTTTAACTACACGCGATTCTACTAGCTGTTGATTATTAAATCTCTTATTAATGGAAAAAGGTTTATGGGAGATGTTGTTGGAAGTCATTGCATGATTGCAAGAAGACAATAAAATCGATATGATGATTGATCGCGAGGATTATGTGATTCATTTGATATTCATACGGTATTTGAGGCTCATGGGTAAGGGACGTCACAGTTCGCTGGTAAGGCGCGTCACGGACTACCGACCTCCCTCGTCCCCTCTCGTAGATCTTCGTCAATCTTCGGCCGTCCTCGGAACATCCCAATTTTTAGGTGCGCAAGCGCTGAATCAACTAATTTATTAAGATCTATTGGTATAATGATATCAAGTTAAAATAGCCGTAATTTGTATTCGGCGAGTGATTCTTCATTCCTTTGCATGTGTGTATTGTTGAGTGTAATGATTGTATCGCCGCGTGACGTGACACTATGTGTTATGTCACTTTCTGGTTCGACAATCAGAGAACGGTCAAATAAATTGACAAAGCTTGTTTAACAAAGTTTTTACAACGTAATAGTCATCCGCGCCGGTAATTTATATTGAAACAGAATGAGTAATAATTGCTCTTTTGTATATATATCTCACAATGTACGTGTTTGTTTTAAAATTGTATTGACATAATATTTTATGACAATACAAATCTTACATCGTAAGGCGCCAGAACTCGTGGCAGTGAATAAAAAATAACGATACAGACAGTATAATGGTTACAAAAATTCAAACTGACTTAAATTTATTCTTGTTTTTACTATTTTTCCTTACCAAGTTATTAACGTTCATTTGTTGTTTTATTAATTTAAAACGAGATAACATAACAACGATACCACAGCGCTAATTACCATGTAATTTACTCCTTTCCTAAGAGTACTCTAAATATTTTCTGTATTCCATATTGTTTTTGATAATTAGAAAAATAAAAGTTTAAATTATGTTATAAATACATTTGTTGTATGAAACAATGTTATTTCGTTTCCAATTGCAGATAATGTTGGTATTACCTTCGTTTTAAAAAAAGCGTAGATTTAACGGTATTTGCATTCCTAAGTTGGCGTTAGTCAAAACAATGCCAGTTCGCAAAACAAAGAGGCGCATGTTTTGGATAAACTTTGTTTTATTTAACTAATCGTTACTATAACATCTTCTTGTAGTATAATACGTTAATTGAAAATTATTACTTATTTTTATAATACAAATTATATAAAAAAATGTAACTCAGATATTTGCTAAAAGAAATTTGGGTCTATATCACTTTAGCTGTTACTGTTGTGAACATTTTTTTATGATAGGATGATAATATAAAGTATATGAGATATTTAATTATTTTTCCCCACTGAATATTGAAAGTCAAGGTCTGACACAACTTAAAACATCAAGGCTGGTGTGAGTGAATGTTTCCTAACTCATTCTGTTGTTTTTTTTTTTATTTATTATGATTGTGTCTTAATGATGTTCTAACTCCCCGCATACGCTATGTATTATATTTTATTTAGGATAATAATTAAATACGACATTGATCTAATTACTACGGTGACGTGTGGACACTGGTAATAGTTTAATTGGTGTAGCTTGGTATAAACGAGCGTATGAACTTGTAATGTAGGACTGATGGAATGCGATCTAAAAAATAAAACAGCTCTTAAATTATTCGCATTTTAAAAATATTGATAAACATATATATAATTTAAAAGATTTCCAATACTTGTTCCCGTAACCTTTTGAATAAAATTAAATATTAATACTTGATTGGTATTTTTTGATTATGTTTTCGAATAAATTCTTTTACATAAAAACGTTCATACATAATAATATTCTTAATTAATCTAAAAGTAAGGACTTGTTTACTAGTAAGCGGCAGAAATTTCGATAGTTCAGAAAAACCTGCTTTAGACATACGATTGGTGTGCATTTATAAAATGTACAATTTTTCTACTATAAGTCTATAACAATACTTTGATCTTTTACTTTGAACTTTGAGGTGCAAGTTATCTTACGACAAAGTAAAGTTCTAGTTTCTTTTAAATTGTATTGTCACGTAAACTATGACGTCGTTCCTCAATCGTCTATGCAATATGAAAATAAAAGGTTGTGTTTGACACATATGTATGTAAATTTGAAACAGCACTTTTATATGTCAAGCCTTTTTAAAACTACATATCGACATATTTAATTTTGTTCTTACAATACTTGAAACGTCTCTCTTACGTCTTTATTCTCTTCACTGAACGAAACATTTAACCTATTTCAAAATTTATACTACGATTAAAAAGGCACAGCAGATCCAAAAATCTTCGTAAATTCCAGTGTATTTCTCAATTAGTATTGTCCATGAGTTGCTCAATCTTCAAAGGTATACGTCATCAGACATTAAAATTAAAAGCCTGTACCTCAAATAAATACTTTGGTTTTATGAACCACTTATAACACTTTATACTTAATAAGATCGGTAATGTTTTCATTTACTTTGCAAAGGAAGATCAAAATAACGAAAATTCTGTTTAGTTTTGCGTAAATAATATTGTGGTTTAAGAAAAATATTGCTTTAAATTTTAATTAAGTAAATCAATGTACGTATTTCTATTTTTATCTAGAAGTTATCGAATTCGAATTTGTGGAAAGAAATTGCTAGATAAGTATTAAGCAGGTAGATTGCGAATCGTTTTAAAATACTTATAATATATCTACATTCATGATTGTTGTATATCACGATGGTCATGACCAGTACAAACAGCTTTTCAGTTTGCGGCATCGTTATTATTATTCACAAGTAATTATTTTATTTGTATAAGTTATCCGATGCCCTTGAGAACTAATCTTAACAAGAGACCATTACGATTATATCGTTGTGAGATACTTTAATGTTTTGAATCGGCTTTAGTTACTCATAATACTATTTTTTATCACAGAAATAAACACGAAATGTTTGAAGTTTTGTTCATTATAAATACTTAGATAAATAAAAGTCCGTGCAAAACTGTCTGTGAAAATTAAACATTGCATTAAAGTACATACAACGCTCTGAATATAATATAACCCTTGAATATTTCATATAAAACTTTCATATCAACCTTATATAAAATTAATAAAAGCAAGATAAATATAGCATTTTTACCCTTTTTGTTCTGCTATCATGTAAAAAGACGTACGGAGGTAGAATTTTTATTTTCATCAGACAAATAACACTTTAACTGCCTTTCAAAGCTTGAAACTAAACAGACACATAAAAATTGTAATTTCTGTGCACATATACACATGTTATATACACATAATCATTTAATTTCAGTTGTAAATATAATTCTTTGTGGAACTAATGGGTTCGGGTAAACCTAACCTTAGCTTGTATTACAAATAGTAAAAATATTCATGTAATCGTTCTTATTTTCTTTGTGTATTGTAAATATTTATTTAAAGTGTTTAACAAAGTTATAAATAGAAATTAATTTTTTATATACTCTTTCAATACCAGGATGAATAAGTTATTCTAGTTTTATATAAAAATAACATTTAAATATCTCTTTTAAGAATTTTTTATAAACTTCGCAGGAGCACATTTTTCGCTTTGCAAGTAATTAGGAGTGATCTATTATTTTAAGTACGCATCTAGCTATTTTTATATCAAATACTGAACACATGTCATGCATTATACTTACAAACAAAGTCGGTTTACATAAAGCAAGAACGTATGTCTTTGTTTCAAAACTACGCGATTCGTTTTAAAAATGATTCAACGACTTTATATCAATGTTTATTGTGTTGAAGTTTTTATGTGATTATTATTAACTAACTTGGTATATATTTTTATGACCAAGATGTAGTTTTGTAAGCTGGCATATATATATTTGGGGATAAGACATTTGTATTTACTCTCTATAATTTCAGATACTTTGTACTTGATATTTAATAATGAAACTAAAAAGTACACTTTTGTTAGTTTCCGAATTAATTATTTAGGATTCTATAAACATTTGTGTAACTCAATAAAGAAAGAAGGAATCCAGTAACCAGATGATCTCAGAAACAAGAGTACAAATTATCGTTCCTACTGATAAGTGTGACGCGGTAGCGAGTACAATATATGTAACTGCCGCCTAATGAAATCATCAAAACTATTAGTTACTATCAAAAAGCAATAACTCATGACAGTCAACACGAATATCAACCTTGGATATATTAATATTAAGATGAATTCATATAACAGCAATCATAATGATTTTTCGTACCGCCTTTTATGTTATTGTAACAACCAAAGTTTAACTTTAAAAACAATACAAACATTTGGTGATACAAATAACAAAAGGGCTGCGTTCAATTTTAAACAATTAAACATAAGTTATATTTTAAATAATATGTAAATGGTTTCAAAGAGATGATAAATAAAATTGCTAATTAACTCTACTATACAAAACTCGGTAAGATTATATATATATTTGATACATATTTGATACATTAAAATATATTAAATATTTCAAGTTTTGTAATAAAAAACTAGTACTGGGTTATCAATACGACACTCCTGTTTCTTGGTAACGTGTAAATGTTTATGATAGTTATCACTTCATTTCGGTGAAAGCGAACTAAATTGTCGTATGTAAAAAATGTCATGTTCTTGTTAATATTTATAAAAAGAAACAAGGAAAAACTTTGTCGTATAGATGAAAATGGGACGCAAGTTAAGTTAATTTATATTAATAAGTTTATAAATAATTATTAAATCCGGTGTCCACTATTATGTTTTCGTTAAATTTTATCAACAAAAAGTATTATGTATTCCATTTTCCAAATTACAACGATAGAGACGGATGCATATTGCATTAAAAATATGACTTCACTCACCTAAATTTTATGCATCCTAAACAATTTTAAACGAAATTATTACAAATGTTTAATAAATATTGTTGATAGATTGGTTCGATTTTCAGCTGGTATATCAAGGAACTGATTTGTCAAAATATTTGTCGACAAATATTATTGCGGTTTACATGATAATCTGCTAACGTCTTCTTTCTATTTTACTAAACATTTGCAATGAAAGAGGCATCAAAGTGTTACGATTTAGATTTTTATTTATTCTACTGTATTTCATGCATTTTAAGTAAATATTTAAAAGAAAATGTTTTGAAATTTCTATTTGAACGTGTTTTAGCAGACAAGTTTTCCCTTTATTTATTTTTCCATCATCAAAAGGATTTAGCTAGAAAATTAAAAAAAAGCAAATACTTTTTTAAAACCCACGTATTTTTGAGATTAATTAGTTATGTATATTTAAAATGTTTAGAATATAAGACAAAAAAAAATCACATGAGCTAG